CTCTCCTGCTGCAGGAATACAAACTGGAGCCTCTGATGTCATCAAGCAACGATTTGCTGGAGCTGCTTCACTGACAATGAAAGCCAGACCCACTTTATGGTCTAAAGGTCAAATTTCCAGGGAGGGGATTGAATTACATTCAGTGTCTAAGCAGCACAGTGAAAGCGTTGTGAAGAAACGCTCAGTATCCTAAAGCTAAAACACACTTTTTATTGGTTTAAACTCCCAGGCGATTTACTGCCAAGCTGCTCCACAGAGTATCCTGTTGTTCTAAATGCTTTAACTTTGGGGACATTTTTATTGTCCCTGATTAAAATCTCATTATGTTGAACAACAGCCTTACCCAGTGCAATGAGCCCAAACAACAGTCCCAGCAGGAGCAGGGAGAGGAGGAGAAGACCCAGCAGCCATTTCCACCAGGAGCAACACGCGTCCGAGCAGCAGCAGAATCCTCCTCCGCCTCCGAAGATCCCGCTGTCCCGGTCAATCTCTGAACACAGATGTCATTTTGAATTGATTTACTTTATTCCTACTCATTTGTGTGCCCGTACATTACCTACAATTTGAACAATTCACTGTTGAAGAAAGCTGTGAAATGTGAAACTGTAATAGTATGTAAAACACTTTTAACTGGTTCAGCTTACCTATACATTATATCTAATAAATATATATTACTATTAATAAAACACTCTCAATGTGTTCAGTAATAAATAGAAGGAGTCCTTAAATACCAACATATTCATCATTAATATAAATATCATCATACATGCAATGAAAAATACCTGCATAGGTTGATTTGTCTTTCATCACAACTCCAGATGTCCCAGATGACCCATCTGACGTAGGGATAAATAAACATCACATATTCATTTCTTTATTAATAATTCAAGTTTATTTTTTACGTTTTTAAGTTTACGTTTTTGATTACCACTCACAGTAAGAGTTGCCACTCTCTGTCTTCAGTGGCGCCGTCTCAACGTAGCTTGAAATAAGCTTCTCTTTCTTCATTGAATCTCCTGACAGCGACCCTGAAAAGATAAGAAACTGAATATTGGTGATGCTATGGAAATCTCACTAATGCAAAGTCTTTCCCAGTGAGGCGGAAATTCAGTTAAGGTTGATTAGGCTTTTTCATTTAGAAACAGACAAAACACTTTATGTCCATTACTTGCCTCAAAATGACCAGAAAGCAGGAATGCACCATGGTGTGCTATTGTTTAAAATATGATGGGTGTATGCGCCACAACACGCTGTGGTCATCAGGAATTTAAGGATCCAAAATTGGTCCAAGAAAAGTTGAGAAACCTTGTTAAGTTTTGAAAGAAACCAGTGTTTCTCCAGCAGGATGTAGCATTCTCACCTCCACTCATCTGAACACTGCTGGTGGTGAACTGCTTCCCGCTGTCTTTAGCCATGATCAGCATGTCAACGTCTCTCTTGACCGCCACGTTCTCCTTGTCAGAGATCAGGAACTTATAGTCTCTCTTATAGGAATCATCAACTGTGGTTCTAGTGGCTGGCAACGAAAGAAAGTTAGGATTAATTGAGGATTCAGAATTGTTAGATTTGATTTATAAAAGTATTGTGGACTTACTTGCAGAGACTCCAGTGCTGGCGACTCCCCCACCATTTGACAAATTCTTCTGAACGCCATAACCTTTAAAAAATAAACACCCAACAGATAAAAACTCTGATAAGAAATTTGCTATTTTGTATTATTTTTAAATAAAGAACACTCTCAGATAACATGCTGCCGTACCTCCTAAGTTAGTAGTCACGTTTCCTCCACTGGTGGTGAGCACGGTGGAAGAGGTGGGAGCCAGGTTATTCTGGAAGCCGTAAACTAAACAGATACAAATGGTTTAAGTTGATTAGGTAACATAAACTCATTATAAAAACACACACTTGCTCACAGGACGCACAGGGATAATCAAAAACGCAATTGCTTACAACAAAACAAACTGAAAAAGTAGCACAGGAACATCTTTTAGTTTGCTCTTTTGTAATCATCTCCAAATACTATAGCTCTTAGGCAAGTAAGCAAAAATGCAATCATAATGCGTATTTTTGAGTCTGATCTCAAGTTTGATGATCTACCAGGTGAAAAGAGGTTCTGCTAGGATAAGCTGTTCCTTTACTTTAACAAATCTGTGTCATCTGTGAAACAGGTGGGGAAAAACGTTTTGGCAGGTGGAAAAATGGTGATTGAAAGTGTTTGTAATATTCATGTTGGGCACAAGATGCTAAGGTGCAGCACTACGTCATTTTCTAAGTAAGTAAAAATATTCATGTTTCACAGGTGGAAAAAATAACAAACTTAGAAAAATGTTCCTGGCAGAAAAAGAAATATTTTTACTTGGAAAAACTTTTTTTCCCGGCTGTTTCACACATGTCATTTTTTCAAAGGAATGCAGAGAGTAGGCTAGCATAACCTTTTTCTCACCTGTTTTACATCATAAGCACAGGGGGAAACTATTTAGATCCGACATAGAAAATCGATCCCCGGAAAATGCTACACAGGAAAATCTCTCTCACTTACTGTATGTCGTCTTTAATAAGTCACCACAGAGAAAAAAACCATACGCAAAACATCCATTACTACCTACAGATGGGTCCATACTTCACCTGCAGGTAACGGGTAATATTCACTCTATGTTAAGTCTTACCGGAGAGGGAGGAGGGTGAGGTGACACCAACTGGAGCGGTTCCTCCAGCCATGTTGTTGTTCCCTGCCTGGTAGGCGTAGCTGCTGGTGTTGGCAGCCATCACCGTGGTGGAGGCGGAGGGCAGCGTTGTGGTGGACCAGGAGAAAGTAGGAAGTGTGGCGTCCAGTGTGTCATACTGGCCTGATCTCACACTAGTATCATACTGGCCTGATCTCAGACTACCATCATACTGGCCTGATCTCACACTAGTATCATACTGGGCTGATCTCACACTAGTATCATATTGGGCTGATCTTATGCCGGTATCATACTGGGCTGATCTTATGCCGGTATCATACTGCCCTGATTTCAAACTCATGTCGTACTGTCCTGACCTCACACCAGTATCAAACGGTCCTGATTTTAAACCAACAGCATACGGGACAGATTTCACACCAGTATCATAGTGGTCTGATGTCACGGTGACATCATACTGGCTTGAGTTTACACCAGTATCAACCCGCCCGGATGTCAGACCGGCGTCATAAAAGCCTGATGTATCAATGGTGTGGAACCCGGTTGATCTAACACCAGAGCCAAAGGAAGTTGAACCTGCTGGAAAGAGACAAAAATAAATGACAAACATTAAGAAAAAGCATCTCTTTTTTCCTGAATAATAAATGCATTCATATTTTGCTAGTGTGCATGGATGGTTCAATCCATGCCTTTTTAATCAGTGCATATGTATGTATGTTGATTATGTATGTTTTTATAGATATTTTTTAATATATTTGTATTTTTTTACTCCTCTGGATTGTGCGAAACAGTATTTTGATCTCTCTGTCCGTACACACAAACGGAAAGATTGACATTAAAGTTGACTTTGACTTCAATGAGAGGCCTACTGCCCACAGAGACTAAGTGTCCCAATGTCTTTCACATACAGTGGTGCTCAAAGAGAAACATACTCAATATAACCACAAAGAAATGCAAAAAAGCTACAAAACAACACAAAGAGACTCACAAAAAAAACACGAAAACTGACCTAGAAAGAACTAAAAACACAAAACGACTACAAAGAGATAAAAATAACAACAAAACAAAAAGAGTTTAACTACAAAGTCTGTGTGTCTAGCTCCAACGTATCCTCCTGGGACCCAGCCCATTGAAAATGTCCACTGTAGTGGACATTTTGTCAACATGGATCTCCTTTTACTCATTTGAGCTACTCTATCAATCCCTGATGTACTGTACAGAGGACATCCTGGTCTTTCCAGTGATATGTCATTGGTTAAAATTGCATGCTGGGAAGTTCCTCTTTCTTTTCATCCAAAATGGCTGGCATACCAAAAACTAAATGTTATAGAAGCAGGAGGAGAAGTCAAATATTGTTGAATAATTTTAATTTTTGCCATGAAAATAATATATGTTCTTGTTTATTAACATGTGAGGAACTATATAATTAGTTCTGAAAGCAATTAAATAATTCAAGTTTTCAAATAACAGCCCTTTTATAAATGTCCATTCTAGTGGACGTCAGGACCATCTTCATGGACTTAATGACTCAATATTGTTGCAGGAGACGGAACTGAAGCAGACATTTTCTGTACCAGATAGTTCAGGGAGATTAAGATTTTGAGCTCTCAGATGATGAGAGAGATGATGATTTCACACCTGGGATAGAAGAGGGTCAAGAGGAAGGGGGGGAAAGATGCAGGAGGCTCCATGAACGCACAGATACAGACAGAGAGACAGATAGGGACGAGCTGGAAAGACATGGCCCTCTGTGGGCCAAGAGTAGCACGTATGTCTTATTGTTGTTTTTATTTTAAGTGGAGCCATGAAAAATGAGAATTGCCTCAGGAATGCAAGCTTTGTTTCTATGAGCATGGTCAAATGGAGACCACATCCATACAACTAGTCAAGATGACCCTACAGCCCGTGCCGACTGGAGTCAATGAGGTACTTTTCCACTACATTGACTACAAAGTCTTTGAAGATCTGGAAAGATTCACCAAAAACCAAACTAGTTTTTTAGTGACCAAATAAACAGCAATGTTCAGATCAATTACTTATTCATGTTTTAAATAAAGGTGAATGTATTATTGTATTAATATCACTCTATAACCATAATACGTTACATAGTCTATCTGTTAATTTTGGCTGTCTTTTCAAACTAATATGGTCCCGACGTCCTCTACAGTGGACATACTGTAACATTTAAAAATAAAATAAAAAGGCTAAATTGCAAGATATTTTTTTAACCCTAAATAGGTAGGAAATCGGAAGACACTTTTTTTCCTTGGGTCCCAGGAGGATATAACAGGCAGTAAACATTTTTATTTTAATTCTATATAAACTTTCTTTGTGTGTTTTCATTCAAAGTTTATGTACTGCATGCCGTAACCCACATTATTATTTTAATAGTTTAAGCTTGTTTTTACGTGATCTGTTACCTTACATAAAACATGCTCAGTTTACTCACCAATGACAAACTCCAGATGGTGTGAATATTTTTTGCAGCATTGGAAATATATCTAAGGCTACAATATGTAATATAATTTATAGCCGTCATAGACATCTAACTCTTTACTATATTCTTGCTACATTCTTACTCCACCCCAAATGGGACTTTGGGACAACAAACCGACCAGAGCATAACTGAATGTTTCTATGATAATTATAGCTGTAGTTATTGGCATCTAGTCTAAAGTCGTAAAATGCTTTTCTTATACGTCCTCTGAGGCATTTGAAACATGCCAGAATACTAAACACTACAGCGATATAACCCCATTAAGTTCTCTCATGACTCATCTTTCAACTCTTTGCTTTATGACACACAGTCTATTAGGGCTTTCGACATTTCCGCAAAATTCAACAGCAACTAAAGTAAATATAGTTTTTGTTTGAAATGTACCTTTCCGATAAAAGGATTCCTCACTATGGAGAATGTTATTGAAAGGCTCTGCTATCATTGGGTGCTCAGACAACCACCAGCAGTAAGGTAAAACATTAACTTTTGTTCTGCTGACACGACGCTGCCAACGCTTCCTTATTAGTGGAAACAGTTGAAAGTGTATGTGTGTATGTCCAGATGTCGTGCTAATGGAGAAGAGGAGTTTAATCGTTACACAAGCAACCCATAAATCAAAGCCCAACATCCCTGACCAATCAGAGAAGGAGCATCGAGTCGAGATGTTTCACCTTTGGAGCATTATCCAGTTCGAGCATGTCACCCCCATGATACCAAACATCCGCCATTTCTAGCTTTGTCTCGCTTTTGACAATCTTTTGGAGAAGAATATATTTGCAGCAATGGAAGTCATCTTTTGGGAACTACTAATGAGATCTGCATATTTCGTCAACACTTTGATTGTCAAACCTTTCTGAAGCGATTGACCTCTAAGTTTGAGCATCAGAGTTTGGGTCCATTCTGGTTGATGGCGAGGTTCCAGTATGTGCGGTTCAAAGTGAGCTGGACAGCAATTTTGACTCTGGCCCACTTCACGTACCTGCTGGTTGGGGCCACCATCTTCCAGATACTGGAGCGGGAGGCAGAGAGCAATAACCGGAACCATTTCCAACTGGAGAAGTTACATTTCTTGGCAAACTACACCTGCCTGGATGGACCAGCCTTGGAGAAATTTGTTCAGGTTCTTTAACAATTCTTGAATTTATAAAAACATTAACAGTGTTAAGGTTTATTAAAATGTAACTGGATAATTTTTAAATATAATTACATTTGCCATATTAGTTGGTGTTGTTTTTGTTTTCTACAACATTTTTTGACATGCTTAAATACATGGTTTGTCTTTCAAAGAGTAAATATGACAATAAAATCAGTATCAAATACTTAGTGCCAGATACATTAAGAGATCAATTTTATTATTAGGTTGTGTACACATTAATAAATGGTGTTACAGTAACCTGTCCTAATAAATCAATAAGTAGGTCATGATCCAAAATAATTTGTTTTTTTATTACTACTTTATTACCATTTTTTGTATGTGTTTGCAGGTGATTTTGGATGCCTGGGAAAAGGGAGTGAACCCCTCAGGCAACTCAACAAACCCCAGCAACTGGGATTTTAGTAGCTCCTTCTTTTTTGCAGGCACAGTTGTCACAACTATAGGTGCACATCTTTAAGTATTCATTATTTTAACTGGCTCATTTAAAAAAGAGAATATAATGACAACTCCTTGTCTTGTCCACAGGCTACGGGAACCTCTCCCCCAGCACTGTATCTGGTCAAGTGTTTTGTGTGTTTTACGCACTATGTGGAATCCCCCTGAACCTGGCCTTCCTCAAACAGCTGGGGAAGTGTCTCACCATCCATCTGGGTCGACTGGAGAGGGGAATGGTCTCAGTTGTTCCTCACAAGGTACTGACGCATTAGCCATTAGGTCATCAAAAATGAATGTTGTTCGATATGTCAATGACAAAAATAGGTTAATGGCAAGTGGTTAACATTAAAATGACCGTGGTAATATCCACAATATTACTAAACTCATGTCTGTGTATTGTACAATAAGTCGATATAGAAAGGACATGTCCATATATGGTGCGACAAGTCAATGGCGTAAAAAAGATTGAGGTCAAGTACATGATAATATGTTGTACAATAAATCAATTACATTTAAAAGTATCATGGACATTTCCATTAATTGTACAATATACGTATATACATGTTGATATACGGTATCAAATATTGTATGAAGTTAATATTTTGTACAATATATCAGCAATAACGAGTTACCGTAACAGACTTACTACCAAACAAAAATGGTTGCTTACAGATCCATGATACTTTCTTTGCATTTGCTAGCCATCATTGTTGCGATAAAACATGTTAGGTATGAAAGCAAAAGGTCACTTTGTAATGCCAAAACGAGGCCTATGGATGTGACTTGTTTCTTTCCTATAGCAGACAGTTGAGGCTCTGGCAGTGAGCTTGTTCTTCATCACCGGCAGCCTGCTGTTTTTAGTCATCCCTCCTCTGCTGTTCAGCTACGTGGAAGGCTGGTCGTTTGGCGAGGGCTTCTATTTCACCTTCATTACCCTCAGCACCATTGGTTTTGGAGATTATGTGGTGGGTGAGTAGAGCGAAAGCAAACAAGCACTAATGTGGTGGAAAGTCCACAGCGGTCACCTCTGTTAGATAAGAGTGCCTTTTCATTCTTTGAGGCAATAACTGTGACATTTCAATGAACAAACCATACTACCCGATAATTCTTACTGTGATGTTCAAGCATGTTCTGACAATATCATTTCCATTGCATGTAGGGACTGACCCAGGCAAGGACTACATCTCTCTATACCGCAGCCTTGCAGGCATATGGATCATCTTTGCCTTGGCTTGGCTCGCCCTTATCCTTAACATGGGAGCCAGAACAATGGAGTATGCAATTGGCCTGACTCATCCAGGCTTTAAGAAACAAAAGGAGGAAGAAAACGTGTCCTCAAGTACAATAGAAGACACGTCAAATATGTAATATTCACTAGGTAGAACATATTTTGTGTGACTGTTTTCTTTACATATTGTGTTACATAAAAAACAGTTTTTGTAAGATATTTACCCCTGCATATGTATTACTTTAATTGCTTTACTTTCCTTGTCCTGAGTTTGTTTGATATATTCTATGCAATGCAGAAACAACTTCTGAAGGTTTTTGAATAACAATTCCACCTCAACTTTGGCAAATAATCAGTTCATTGGATCAGGGCCTAGAATCTAACTTCTAAGAATTACATTAAATAATTCAGGACACATTTCTAAACATTTATTAACTATGTAAAAAAAAAAAACAGTAAGTTTGGAGGGCAACAAATATTTGTACTCTTAGTATAAATAGACAATAAGTAACCATTAATCCTTCCTGATTATTTCTTTTTTTATATAATTTAAATACATGAATTGGGATTATGTATTTTTTCATTTGGCAATTTGATGAATAAGAGCCTAGGATTAAAGCCTCAATGTGAAAAGTGTTTTGCCTTATGTTGGAATCCTGTAATGTTTTCTTCCCTCACACAACAGGATGAATTGTTTTGCACTCTTGTTGTAGTTATTCTTTATTTTATATTATCCAACTGCATTATTAGACTGTATTAATGTCCCATGTTGCACATATCTAAATGTCAGATACTTTTGTGTAACATCATGTAAGTCCACAGCTGCGATTGTGTACTGATGGTCATCTCTGGTGCATTGAGCATGGAGGGCTATCTTAAACAAACACATCTAGATGATGGTGTGAGGTGACCCGAGTGATCCTAGAAAGGCAGCTGGGTGACAGGAAGAGGGCTTTTACTGCTCATAATTTTTTTTCATGTTTTTACCAAAAATGGTGGTTAGCAGAGTAAAAACTGCCACTTTCTTGGTTAAACCAGTATGAGAACTGATATCATTTTCAATATAATGTAAACCTAATTGGTCTTGGAGATTGTGCACATCCCCTAGAAACTATACTTTTAAATTACCCCACAGTTGCGGCGCAATGTCATGACCTCATAAACAATGGCTTATTTTGGCCAGAAACGCCAACATTTGACCTTACCCATAGTCATCACCGAAAGCACAACCTATGCTGGTGTCTCTCCCTATTTGCATGGCAGGCCATTGGAGTGACTGAAACAGCAGCTGCAGGTTCATTTGACTGGAATGCAAGGAAAGAAGAGATGACAAGCTGGTAAACACTCACTCCTTCGAGACAAGAGCTTGCCTGGATTCAAGTGTTCTAGCAGGGAGCCAAGATGGGGATAAAGGAAATGCTGAACTGGGCGCGGGTGCCCTCCATCCTCCTGCTCGGGCTGGTTTACGTGGCCTATGTACTGATCGGCGGTGTGATTTTCTGGAAATTGGAGGGAGATCTTGGCGAGAAAGACATCGATCGGCTACTCTTGAGCAAAAAGAAGCTGCTTACGAGGTACACCTGTCTGAACCAAGAAGGCCTGGAACGGGTAGCTGAGGTGAGGTGCAGGACATCAACAGAGGCAACACAGTTATGGGTTTTAGCACATTACACTCAGGCACTCATTTTTGCCACAGACATTCTAAAATGCAAATGTGATGGGACTATTTCACAGCTAATATATGCCTGTAGCCGAACAGTATCTGTATGTTTTGTATATGACAAGTTTTTGGTTTCAAAGGAGACCACTGGATTAACATGGGGACCACAATCCAACTCCTTAAGGTTTTTTAAATGTCTGAATATAGAAACCATAACTACAAATCAATCATGTATCTGACAAATGAACAGTTCTACCCTTCAGCTTCACAAAGGATATTGTTGTTTCCATTACTCTTTATAACTAGCATACATTTGATCGATCTTGTTTTAGATGCTCATGTTTCAAGGCTGACTCCTGCGTAGTAACCAAATAAACCACTTTTATGGGGGGATAATTTAACAGTAACTGGATCATTTTGCCATACAGTGCTTTTAAGCATCTTTGAGCACTAGGAAAAGCGCTATAAAAATGAAATGTATTATTATTATTGAACCAAAAACCACAAAACTAACCTGCTGCCACTATACACAGTGGCAATCAATGGAGGGCCATTTGCAATCACTTGTAGGTTCCTCTATGCAAATACGAATATACAAATACCTTTTCACAACAACACATTCAACTTTCACCGCAGAAAAAATGTGCAATCTTTTCCTTGGAAAGCATTTTTGGCACATTAAACATTCTTGAATCTAGAGAAAGGCATGTCCTAGTGTGCACTACTTTTCAGAGAAATAAAAGCAACAGATTGAATTGAAAATTCTGCCAAGTCACGTGAGACTGGACTCAATTTCTCTGAAATTTGCATTTTGTTTTTGTAGCAGGCATTAGAGGTGATTTGTGTACAACGCCAGCCATAAGGCAGTAAGGTGCAATAAATTCAATTTAGTCAGTTCTTTCAAAAATTAGCTATCATTTACATATTTTGAACTAGGATGTAATGCATAAAAGTAAAGGTACTATGTTGAACAGAACATTCTTGCTAATACCATTATCAGCATCATCATTTTCGAATCATAAATCTGTCAATTAGATTTATGATTCGAAAATTGTAAAAGTAGCGTAGACATGTGGAGATTATCCGGCTGAACAAAACGTGATCAGTCTCTTAAATGTGTGTCAACCACAGACCTTATTTCGAGCTATTTTCCAAAATCCTATGGACAAATTGCATTGCTTCTTTTTGAAGGAACCATCCATTGAAGGAACCCATGCGCAGCTTACTTCCGGTTTTTAGGACGCTTCACTCTGGGCATTGGCCACAACAGAGTAGCTCCGTACAATAATACAAGGCTATATTTTTTTTTTTTAAACGATACTATCTGTCATTTTGTGTTATGTAATGTTATGTGGACCATTGGCCCCATGATACTAACTATAGCTTCCTGTTTGCACATGTCTTTCTTAGCTAACATAACGAAACAGCCGACAGCAGATCCATGCAGTGTAGCTAAGTTACAGCTAGCTGGCTAAACTTAGTTTAGTTTATTTTGGGCTAAAATCGCGATTTTTCATACCACTCATGTTGGTATAATGCATCATGTTAACTGGTGAATTATTTTTGCCAAGCTTCCCAACTAACATATCCACTCAAATATTTTTGTTCTAGCTATAACGTCAACAAGGAAGCAAGCTAGCAGTAACTTAATGCTGCATGGACTTTACCTCGGTTGCTTTGAGACTGTAACTGGTCATTTACAAACAGTAAACTAGTCATTACCAGACATTATTGTATGCTAGCTACACACTATTTGTGCAGTAGGCGAGCTAAAGAACACTCCTTAATTTAAATCAATCCATAGGCTGTGTAACTGAGAAAGTCAGAAATGTTTGTTTCAATCCGTTTACACATTGGCAGTACAAATCAATTTACATGAAGCCTCAATTGTTAAATAAAGTAAATGTAAACTTACTTAATATTGAATACTTAGATAACAAAGTCTTAGGTCTGAGAATGTTTTTATTTTGGAGCAATTTTCCAGTGTAGAACTCAAGACTTGTCATATACTCTGCCTGACACAAGGCTTAGAAAGGTTTTCATTATGTTAAATAGTAAGTAGGTATTAATACACATTAGGAATGTGTATTAATACATACAGGGCGTCACATTATGGTGAATCATAAAGGGCGACCAAAGGCTATGAAATTTGCAATTGTTGTAGTTTAGTTTGACATTTTCCCCTGGTTTGTAATGTTGTTATTAATTTCAGGTTGTTCAAGCAGCGTCCAAGGTGGGACTTAGTTTGAAAGGCAACCAGACCTCGGACGGCTTCTGGAAGTTCACCAGCTCAGCTGTGTTTGCTGCCACTGTAGTCACAACAATAGGTTAGACAACACTGGAAGTGAATTTGAATCATACCCCATGACAAATTTAGCAACATTTTTGTTTGTACAACCTAAACACTTATGATGTCTCTGGTCATTAACCAGGGTTGTAATCTTGTGTTGTAATAACTAATACAGGATATTTCACTATTTAGATGTTCAATCTTTCAAGATGACTTGATTTATTATGATAATGAACCATGAATGAGTGAAATAAGACACTAATAGCTTACAGTTTTGCAGGTTATGGGAACATGAGTCCAAGTTCTACTGCTGGCCAGATATTCTGTGTGTTCTTCGCACTATTTGGTATCCCGCTCAACTTGGTGGTACTCAACAGGGTCGGCAAGTACATCCTTGCTATAGAGAGGAATGTCTCTGACTTCCTCGAGGGGAAGACCAAGCGAAGGGTGAGGAGACCTTTAATTATTCTATGAATATCAGATCACTATGGAAATATTTGTGTTACACATTTTAGGTAGTAAATATTCTTCATGTCTCAATTCTCCCTCCTGCATCTCTCGGCAGAAGTGTACCCGCTTCTTTGTCCACCTGGTGTCTTACCTGTGTGGAGCAGTGCTCTTCTTTGTTATGCCCATGATTGTGTTCCAACTGCAAGAGGGCTGGACCTTCTCCCAGGCCATCTACTATTGCTTCATCACCCTCAGCACCATCGGCTTTGGAGACTTTGTGGCAGGTACAGGAAATAGACTATGTAGGAACAGCCCAGTAAACAGCAGAGAATAGCCATGGTCCCATTTTTGGTGGCAACATTAACTTTTAGGCTTTAGGCTGCATATTTTTCTTGGGTTTTTATAAATACAATATACTTTCATAATGAGCATAGCATTCATTTTGGTGTTGGTATTTTTCAAATGTTGGAAGTTCAACCTCGTATAATAAATCAGTAACCAACTTGGCTTATTTCCAAGACTTCCAAAAATATTGGTATTATGATAAACAAACTGGCAATCAAAAAGTAAAAATTCTAAAGATGAATGAATATTTGGATGATGTTGGTTAAAAATGTAATTGCTGAAAGTTTAACCAACATCATCATCAAAAAAAAAAAGCAATTTATTTTAACAGGGATGCAGGAGGGTTAATTGAGAGTTTCCTTTCCAGACAGTAATCCGGATAAAGTGTACCCAGATTGGTACAGCGTCCTCATGGCCTCCTGGATCTTCTTCGGCCTGGCCTGGCTCGCCCTCCTCATCAACCACTCCATCGACATCCTTGAGCGGCTCAACACGCACTGCAGAATGCGCTGGGGTGGTCAGAAGCCAGAGGAAGAGTCTGGCAGTGCAGAGGGAGAAAACCCAGACACACAGGTGGAGGAGGAAGACGAGAACAAGAAGCCACCAATAATTCAGTAAAAAAAGGTGAAGATTTCAGTAAGCTTAACCTAGTTGTAGTTTGTAAATCAGGACATGGGAAACAGGCGTAAACTATTGGATAATGTTGAGCCATGGCAGGGTGTGTGTGTGTGTACGTGTGCATGTTTGTGTGCTATAAGACTGTAAATGTTGAGAGTGTGATACTGCCGCTAAAATATTGACTCATTTTTGTTGAGTGAGGATTTTTTTCCCACACTGTTAATATGTGACTCATTATTGTTTGCTTGTTAATGTACTTGGTTTAAGAAAAACCTCTGCGATTAGAGTGTAAGGCTACTAGGTCAACACTTACTTTGCTTCATGCATATGTCCATGGGTTAGTGGTCAGGATAAACTGCAGTCAGTGTTGTCTGTGGCTCTCTCGTGTGTTGCTAATGACCACAAACCAAGTCATTTGCCAACTAAGTAGCAATTTGCATTTGACTGTGTGAGAGACAGAATGGCCCATGCACCACTTATTGACTGTTGATGCCCAAAATTAAAACATTTGTTTACTGCAAATACATTTAAATGTATTTCATTATTTTTCATTCAAATTGAAGGTAATGGGATTTTTTTCTCGTAAGAAATATAGGTAACCTAATTATTTGACCACACTAAACACAGTGATACAACAACTCATATCTAAATTTACCCAATACAATTCTACTAGTATATTGAAACCAGATTGTTTTTAATTTACTTTAGGGAACTTTAGGGAAGCCCATAAATGCTGAAATTATCTTTGCATCCACTAGGTGTCGTTGCAATACTAGTGGAGAAGTCAACCCAGAGGAAAAGCAGCAAACACTCACTGTACTGTATGTTAGTGTATAATGTAATAATATAAACTAACCATATTATATATATAATCCTCACACTCAATATATTCATGCTCTTCATATGTTTATGTCCCAGTGCAGGTATATATAACCTCTATCATGCAACTTTTATAGAAATGTTATTTCTTGTCCTTATTGCATGATTAAATAAAAGTGTACAATCATGATTTAATTCTTATTATTTCGTTTTTTGTGTATTTTTCTTTCATGCATACTTCTCTTGACAGTGACCCACAGTAGAATAGCAGCACATAGAGGCGCAGACGAGGGTCAAATATCACAGAGCAAGTCAGTAAGGAGGAGTGAATGACAAAGACAGACGGCGAGCGGCGGGAAGAGAGAGTGGAAAATGCTGAGTAGATGGATAGTGAAACAAGGAAAATAAAGTAGGTGAGGAATAGGAGATATTTGAGGGGAAGTGCAAAAATAACCCAGACAGCAAAGGAAAAGGAAGGATTTCTCCTTTCTGTTCTGCTATATAATGTGGATAGTGAGAAGTATGAAGTGAGAGTGACACCACTGTGACCGTTGTACAACAAAACGCCACATACCTGTTTGGCCACGGTTCAATGAGGACTCAGCATGTGTGAGAAGACTGGTGCCATGTCCTATTTCTGTCCAACCGACCACTGGTAAAGTCTGCACGCTGTCCACAATGAGACAACATACACAATCCATAGACTGGATCTTCTATGTTGTCATTTTATTATGTTGTCTATTCTGTACACAAGACATCTATTGCTCGTCTGTCAGATCTGTGAGAGGGATTCTTCCTCGAGGTTACTTCCATTTTTACCCTCATTGATTTTGAGAGTTTTTCCTTGTCCGCTGCAAGGGTCTCAGGACAGGGGGTGTTGTATACTTTAAAGATTGAAGATAAAGCCCCCTGAGACAAATGACTGTCATTTGTGATTTTTGGGATATAAAGATAACATTTGTTTGACAAGGTTCTGAAAATAAGAAGCAACTATTTATAATTTATCTTTATTTGATTTACCAAAGGAACATCTTATTCAATCATAAGGTCAAACTGCAGATATGAAACACTACCATGTACACTGGGCTGCAAATGTTGCACTAGGATCCTTAATAATAATCTTTTTTTTAAGTCTGACCTCATGGTGTATGCTGTCTAACCTTAAAGGTGACTTATCATGCTCATTTCCCAATTCATGCTTGTGAATTGGATGTCAACTAAAAATGTGTTTATGCTTTATGTTAGAAAAAAACCTTTATTTTTCTCATACTGTCTTCTTTATTATGCCTGTATTAACCCTCTGACGGAAACGCTCCGTTTTGGGGCCTGTCTCTTTAAGGCCTCCAGAGCAATGAAGTGAGTTTTTAACATTATGTGCCCTTTAAGAGATATGTTTAGCTATTCCCATGGCTTAAAAAAAAAAACTCAAAATGCATTGTGTATTCATGCTTTGAGTTTGATAGATAAAAAAATAAGCTTGAATGGTCCAGCTGGTTAAGGAAATAACTGAGCCTTTAATGTCTTGGACCAGTTTTTACTTATTCAAAACTTCAGTAGTAACTAACAAGAATAGGGATGATTTGTTCTTTCCAACAGATACTCTTTCCCATGTTACAAGGGCTGAAGCCATGACTCATTGAAAGATGATCTTACACACCCTCAAGGTGAATTCAGTTACATGATTTTTCTCATGAAAGTTTAACAAACAAGGCTTCTCTGAAAGACAGAAACAACAGCATATCATAAAAAACACAACACGAATGCCACTAAAACACTGCATAGCACAGATTTACAGTGTTTCCAGGTCTGTCAAAATTAGATGTTCATCTTGCATAACAAATTACATTTAACACTCTCAAAATTGAGGCCATAGTGTCACGAAAATTTGAAATATGTGGGTGTGTCTGCCTGTGCGTGTTTCACGTTACGTGTCCACAACTGTGCAGCAGCTGCAACAGAAGGCGTTACATAGTCTCCTGGAAACATTTAGGGTGCAACCAGAGCAACATACAGTACAGAAAGAACAGCTTTCGATCTCTAAATGTGTGCAATGCACAATGCAAAAGGCGTAAAATATATATATATTTTTAAAAGCACGTGTTCCACAAAGAAACAGGAAACAACATAAATCATCACATGCATGCACAAGGGCCCGCCCGTATGTTCTTTATCTCGTCTGCGACGCAGCAGAAATGTCACGTGAAATGCATCTCACCTGACCCATTAATGATGTGGATGTGCTTTAAAGGTTTTGCGTGTGACCAGTAATGTACTGTCTGACCTTACTAGGCAAATTCAGAAAACACTGCTGAGTGATATTGTTTTATAAGAAGCACAGACACTTATAAAATACTTTAAATGGGACAAGATTACGGTTATACAATTAGCATAAGTTATTTACAGGAAGAATGCCAAACTGCTAAAACAGTGTGCACAAATGATTGATGGTTTAATGTTATACAAATATAACACTGTGTGCTTTAGCATTTGTGACTTAAGCCTGCCTTTGCTTTTACTGTAAGTCACTTTGTTTGCAATCCATTAGTCTTCTCGGAGTGCAAACAAGGAGGCATTTTCACTACTGGTGACATTAAAGGCTTCATGTTACTATAAACTACAACCATTTGGTATTAATGTCATATACAAAGCTAATCCATTTATTTGGGACTAATGGTAGTTTTTTCTAAGATGTAGTCTTCTGCTACGATGTACTGAATTCTAGCAGAGTTCGAATAGTCAAAACAGAATGACGTCCACTGTGTTTTCCCTACACACATTTCCCTCATGACGTTTTCCATTGCGGTCAACAAAGGATGCAAAGAAGAATAAGGACATAGCACCATTGTTGTCTTTTGCTAAGAGATTCTCACTACATAGGCTACAGATATTTTTCAAGCAACTGAAAATGAGTGCTATGATAAAGTCAATGCTCTAAAATTCAAAAAAGAAATCCGGTCAAGGCCTATATTAAGGGTACCATCAGGGCCACCCCTCCCTTCACGCAGATCACGCAGACTGCGTGGGGCCTCACCTTGCTGAGGGGGCCTCATCTTGCGGACGATCTATGCGCGAATGCGGCGTAATTAATCTTATGCGCAAATGTGGCGTAATTATGTGCTCTTCAGTTTCCCCCGCTGCGAGGCTCGTTTCAAAAATAATGCCGAAGTAACAACATACTGATACCGGTCTGCAGACAGACGGCAGGCGAAAAACCTTTTAAAATGCGTGTTTTCTGAATGGAGATCGGATTGATCAGGATAAGCTAACGTTGTGCTCCGTCCACACAGGTCCACACTCACAACAACGGCCTATACAGACATCAATAAACCAGCGACTGTATTCGCCATGACACAGACAGTCTGTGGTTTGTACTTGTTTAACTTTTGTCTAGTTTCTGAACAGATATGAGGAGCTGTGAGCTCTGAGTGCTAACAGCTAACAGCTGATGTTTTGGTCTTATGGTTCGCATTGAAGATGACGTCATGGCAGTTTTACGCAGCGTCGCTCCGCCCGCCGAACAGACGATCGCCCCGCCTACGCTGCGTTACTATAGTTACTACCCCAGTTGGTCAACTGTAATGGCAACGCAGCGTAAAGTGAGCCTGCCCTACCAAGGCCTAACCATACCGTACTAAGCCGTGCTAGGTCCTGCAGTGGAAAAGCGCCATTAGATACTTAGAGGTTATTATTAACTGTTTGACTGCAGCCCTGGTGGGGCAAGTTTCAAACAGGAAGTAACATGTTTAACTACGCAGGGGAGCTAAAGCTACTTTAGCTTTGGCGCTTTTGACAACATTAGAGCTCTGAAGTCTCTTAATCAGGTTTAAGAGATGTTCTGCACATGACCACTTTATCTAGATTACATTTAATGCTATTTAGATATGTAAGTGTATTAGCAGGTCATGTTTCAAAAGGTCTGTATTTGAACTGCTGGCTTGGAGGCTGAGAGAAATTGATTAAACTCATACCCTTGCGGTTAACTGCAGTCAGGCTTGAAATATTCCGTTTGAACCATTTTAACTCCTAGTCAGCAGCACAGAGTTTCATCATCACATTTCTGTGGTTATTAATCATTGACGAGAAAAACAAATCTGCTCTGATTGTGCGGGTATAACAGAAACAGCTACACAGAGATAACAGTGGAAGATAAAGCTCATTTAGGAGTGCAATTAAGAAACATGACTGCAGTAAATGCTTTAGTGATAGCCTAATAAAAATTGTTCATGTCACTAAACATAAAAATAAACTAATCACTAAAAGGCAGATACAGTTCTGTAAAAAATAATCAGTTGTCACGTTCTTACACAACGGCCATGTATAATAAGTAGCTTGCTCCCCTTGTATTTTCTCGATTTTTATTCCAGTTTACCATAAATTTTCATGTTTCATTTTAAGATCTAGAAAACTGATATGTTTTGTCATATGCGTGTCCTACTTCATCCAACTCATTGGACCTGAACTCCCTGTTTTGAGCCAATGGGAGGAGAACATACATATCATGCCCCCAAGTCCTGTGTTAATTTTTTATCTCATGCCGCCTCCACAACCCAGCTCGGTCTGTCTGTAATGTTCTGAGTTAACCTCCCTTAAACTCCCCCATCTCTGACAGTTTAACCTCCCTGTTTGTGTGCATTTCTTAACCTGATTTATTGACAGTCCTTGTTTGCTTTTCCTTACGAGGTATCGACAAAAAAATCGACACAAATCCCAACAATCAAAATAATCAGACGGGTGGGCAGATAGGCTTCTTCTGAGTAAACAACATTAGGCAAGTGTTGCCACAAACTGGAAGATGTAGACAGAGAAGATAGAATGAGGGAAGATCAACTGATGGCCAAACAGACCAGACGGCTCTTTATGGGAAATACAATCTAAAGTTGAACATTCGTTTAAATTGCCTTATCCAAAAATATTCCACCACACAGCCTTATATAGGAGACCTAAGGGAATGTCTAGAGGCTGAGAGGAGTGTGCTGAGTCACTGAAAACATGGACATGTATCTGCCTGCAGTTGTTTGTCTGGTAAGGGTCGCTGACAACATCACCTCCTCTTTCTTCATCTGTGTTTTTGTCTTTACCCTTACATCAGAGCGCCAAAACAAGGTGCAAAATGTGTCATGTTGAACATAAAAAGTGCAGGATGTCTGCCAGCAAAAAGGGCCGAAGCCACTCTGAAACTGTCTCACAAAAGACCAGGCAGAGCAGACAGATAGTAATGAAAGCAAGGCCACAGTGACCTGCCCAAAACACTGTGAAAGCTCACCTTCCCCTAGTACTGAAGCTCACACTCATGCCAACATATCTGGATACATACATGATGTGTACTTAAGGGAACTTTTTAACACAACGATACCTTTTGAAGGCCTGCTTGAACATAAAACAATGTTCTTTGAATGATAATAAGAAGAGGCTCTTTAGACATGCTACTGTAGTAGCTACGTAGGCCTTTATTTAGACACAGTGGTGCTTCATGTTAACAATGACAGTGCTAATGTTTATCATATTTACCATCTTGGGTCAGGCCTACAATGTAAAAAAAAAAAGAATAAAGAAAGAAATATTTTGTAATTTTGCTTAATTTAACCACTACTTTACATTGATAAACTGAAAAAACACAGGTATTGACTATCCTATTATAGTAAAAGAAAACCTACATTTTAACACATTTTGACTTGTATTACTTTGAGGATTGAATTGTTAAATATGTGAATTTCAGGTTATAAAAACTGTGTAAACTTGTGAGTTAAATACAACAACAACAACAACAACAAAGTTGAATGTTATTAACATGTTGGGTGTGAATTCCTACCAGAGCACAATACAGAGGAGACATTTGTCTATGCCATGATAAATCTATAAACTAGCTCATAGTTGTCAGCATTCACTGCAGGCAAACCTAATGTGTCTAATAAACCTAATCACTTATGATTTCTAAGTAGAAGAAGAAGAAGATATACTTTATTAATCCCTCAGAGGGAAATGTCTTCCCCCACTCTGTTGTGTTTAAACACATTACACACACAGGGAGGATATACAAGCACTAACAGACAGTTTGGTGCGTTCACAACCCAAGTAACATTGACCTGCTAATGTCTTTCAATACAAGAAAAAGCTGTGACAATTTCTGACATAATTTAGCTTTTCACAGATGATCAGATATGTAATCTGCGATTGCTACAACTGCACTGTCCGTGTTTGTTAGGGAAGTAGCTTTTAGAAATGTATCAATGAACTAAAATGTGTGACTTTAACTCAATATTTAAAACACAGAATGATTGGTGCACAGTATGCAAAAAACATATTGAGTTTCACTGTAAGTGAAAAATGAAAGGATCTAGAAGTTAAATAACATTAGCATCCTTCCCTAGGCCTTATCACACTAACATATACAATATAGTCCATAACATTGAACATGCGAGCAAGCACTAACAGCCAGACTCTGAATATCAAAACCTGGTTAGCAGTTGGTGCTACCACTATGCTTAATTGGTATTAGCATTGCAATTACAGTAAAACAAACAACCTATGGTGTCCTTTTAGACGCCTACTAATATACAAATATTCAAATCCATCATATTGAAAGAATAGGCCTTCACCAAAGCAACCCGGTATCACGGCAAGAAGTGAACAAGTGACGATTAACCATGCTGGGAGACGTGAAGATGTCACGATTTCGTCCCTTCAAACGTGACAGTTACACAGTATTGTTAACCCATGTTAACCAGTGGAGAAATACCCGGAAATGCCAAGCAAATGCTACCCCGACGGTCGGTTGTTATTGTCAATATTCATATAATAATGATTTATTTTTTAATAGTCACACTCGATTACTACGATTTTCTTGTTGCCCCAGCTGGTCAACACCTCTTTTAGCAGAAACAAAGGCTACTTTAATGTATTAAATCGATGTTAATCCATGCGTGTGGAATTAACGGACATGACGTTGTGCGATTGCGTTGCCAGGCAACAGCTTCGGTTCATGTTAGTTTACAAACTCTTCAACTACAACCATAGTTATATTTAAAAACATGTTAGAAGGCCTCACGAAATACTTTAATGTAAATTAAAATGTAAATGTGAAGGAATGTGTGTATAACAAAATACATCCGTCAAAAAACGAAACCGGAAACAGACGTAGGCAAGATCCTCAGCTCGATGATTGGATGGTTTATGCCATGTGAAATGTGAAATCTGAAAACATTTTTTTAAAATAAAATAATACTTTATTCTGAGTGTGCTTGCTTTTCTCTTTGAAAGTCATCACATAACGGCATTGTNAATCCCTGATGTACTGTACAGAGGACATCCTGGTCTTTCCAGTGATATGTTTTTGGATGAAAAGAAAGAGGAACTTCCCAGCATGCAATTTTAACCAATGACATATCACTGGAAAGACCAGGATGTCCTCTGTACAGTACATCAGGGATTGATAGAGTAGCTCAAAAGAGTCAAAGGAGATGCATGTTAACAAAATTACCACTACAGTGGACATTTTCAATGGGCTGGTTCCCAGGAGGATAAAGTCATTTAGATTAGTCATATTCTTGTGTTTTGGGTTACTGGCAATATTATACTCCATCAGAGAAAATACAATTTCACACATCATTGTGTTACAAAATCATAACAAAATGCATGTGGAATGCCAGCAAAAGACTTGTTCACAGGTCCTTCAAAAACAAAAGCATAAACTTGCCTTGCCTTGCCAATTTAACTTAGAATTACAGCAAAAAGGTAAATTAGGGTAACAAATATTTTAAAGGATTTCCTTTTTACGGCCCAAAATTGCTTCTAGTTCCAAGAGTACACTACATAAAAACTGCTTTAAAGTAATTAACTACTAATTGAATCACTATACAAAAAATAATGAAGCTGAATGCTAGTCAACTACTGCAATATGAAGTTAAACTTCACACACATGTTCAGTGCTCTCCTACTCTATCAATTTATTTGTATAGATTTACACTTCTGTGTTTATGGACTTTGTGTTTTTTGTGGTGTTATTAAAAATATCTTTTAACACAATCACGCCATGAAGAGAGTCACTGATGTGTCTGAGAGAATAACAGATATCATGACTTCACTGAAGAGGGCTCATTCTCCAAGGCAACTGGATGCAAATTGTGCAGCTGCTTGTCATCTGTCAAACAAATCAACGCAAAGCCATGCAAACTGCTTTTGTTCCAAGGTTCACAGATTGTCCGCTGGTGTGGTAAGTGTGTAGCAAGAGCTGCGGAAACAGAATGTGATTTAATATCGGGTGACATTTGACGGATAAAGTGAATTTCATGATATAACACATCTACTCTCACGAGGGAAGGAACTCATGTAGTGACCTGGCCGCATATACTGTACAGTATGAAGCTGTGTAATTTAACGCTTAACATCCTTGTAAAATATATAATTATTAATTGCCTATAGTTGATCTTATCTTAATGTAAAAACCCTTAAATGCTCATTCAGCTCAATACGTAATAATCATTACTCCATGCAAAGAAAAGTTTGTAACCCTATTTGAATTTCAAATAACGTATCTTAAGGAAGCACTGCACACGCTGCAGGCCCTCAGGGTGTTTCCCTGCCTTCTGCTCAGGGCACGCTGGGATATGCTCCACCTCCCTGTGTTCCTAAATAGCATTAATCACAGATACTGTGAGGCCTTATGACCCATTAGTAAAACCGCTACACGATGATTGGTTTTGTTAATATTATATCCTTATATTCTGAACAATACTTGAAAATAAAGGTTTGTATTTAAAAGGCAGAAAAAGATACTTGTGCAGTATGTGTTATTTGGAATACATTTCACTACTAATTGACATGGATCGTAGCCAATGACGCAACCAACAGGTTAGTTTTCCTTATACCCTTCATGGCTGAAGGTTATGACGAATAGCTTGAGGAAAGTCATTTACCTGGGATATTTTCTAGGTGTATTCCACAGAAAGCAGCACTTCTAAACCTGAAACTTGCCAGAGTAACTGTAAAAAGAAGAGCAACAAGAAAGAGATTTAGAATCAGTGATGATGGAAGAAAAATATGGCACAAGCTATTTCATAGATCAGGAAGCTCACGGAAATGTAAGTTGCCACAGAACACAGAACAGGCAGATCAGCTGTTATCAGGTTACCAAACAACTCCTCATTTACTGTATGTTTGTCAGTGCTTAGTACACATTGACTAGTAAGTGCTAAGTACAAATGTAATACGTGGGCAATACTGCATTTCATCATCAAATAGTTTATTCTGTATTTGATATTGTGTTCAATTTTCTTATACACAAAATGTACTATACATATATTACATATCTATTTACAACCTTTTACACAAAATAACATACATCTGAAAGGCATGTTAAACTTCCTGAGGCCATTTGATACATCATGATTCATTCTTCACGTACTGGAGCCACCTGGTTTCCTTCCTCTCATATCTTGAGACAACATTTGTTTAGATCAAATGTGCGGCGCAGGCTGTGATTTATACTGCTGCCCATTGTGCCGGACAAATACTCCAGGAGGCCAACCAGTGTGTGTCTGCATGTAAACATCAGACAGGATGTGTGGCTGGTGTTTGGCAGATCACAAATCCTGTATTTTCAGGATCTTCAATGTCCGTCCATCTTTAATCAATAATGTCCAATACTCGTTTAAATGCAGATGGAGGTTGAAGAAGCATTTAGATGACGGAACTTCAGGTGTTCATCAGAGCATCGTGGTATTATTGAGGTGGTCCTGAAATACAAACAACATCACCTGGCAGATCAGACATCCAATGAAAGGTAGTAAAGCATCACACCACCAGAGGACAGTGTGATGCTTTAAAAGGCTTTGCGGGAGTGTGAGTGTGTGTGAGTGTGTGTGTGTGTGTGTGTGTGTGTGTGTGTGTGTGTGTGTGTGTGTGTGTGTGTGTGTGTGTGTGTGTGTGTGTGTGTGTGTGTGTGTGTGTGTGTGTGTGTGTGTGTGTGTGTGTGTGAGTGTGAGTGTGAGTGTGAGTGTGAGTGTGAATGTGAGTGTTACCTGTCCTACTGAGGAGGTTTTGCCTTGCTCTGACAAATGCTAGGATGTCAGCATCAGCCTTTTGGTCTCCGGTCAGGGGAATGGAGGAGGATGAGAGTGTGGTGGTGGAAAGAGACCTGAAATGTACATGTGTGTAATGCAGCAAGACAATATCAGCATTTAGGACTATATTCTTGTAACAAATGCTCAATTTGTATATGTGTTTGGGAAGGGATAAGCCTAAAAGACAAACCATTTCTGAACACTCTACATTCATCCTGTTTTGTCACAGACCCATATTTCTCCCAGATTATGACTGATTATATCTTTCTTTCTTAAGGTTGGTTCTCTGTTTTTGTTCCAAAAGCTTTAAGGAAACATGCTTAACATTAACAGGTAACAGATCCTCATATCACGGGGCCTCTGACTAAAACAATAGTATGTCTGTACTTTAAGTGGTTTTTGGAAAGGCGAACAAAAGCATACATGTTATTCAATGACTGTTTTACTGTGGTTGTAAAACAGTCGTTCCAGCATTTGCTTGATTTGTTAATATAGTTTGTAGACATTACTTCACAGAGAAATAAAAAGGTTATGGGCACGTTCAGAAGTGGAGAGAAAACACTGCGCAGCTATAAAAGCTGCAGGTCCAGACTGTATGTATAGACTTAAGAGTTACTGCAAACATGTGTAGCTACTTTATTTATAGCATTTGTTATACACACACTTGAAAGAACTACACAAACACTGTTCACCTATTGATTCAATTATTTCTTCAGTCTGCCCTGTTTAAGAGGCCTTGACTTGTACAGAGTGTAGGGCTGTAATGAATGTCACATTTGAAGTCTCAGTTTTTCATATAAAGCACCAAATGTCTGTTTATCTCCTAAATAAAACGCCTTCAAAAGAATACCCTGAATTTGAGTGAAGTCCTTGTGTAAAAGCGTTTTTTTTATGAAGAAAAAGGAAAAGCTACGCAGCATTCAAATGTTGTCAAATGAAATAAAGAGGCTTCAAGCTATCCGTTACAGCCCGAATTAAGAGACCACCGTAAATTATATTTTTCCTGAAATGCAAAACGTATTCAGAGATTTTTGTGAATAATAAGCAGAACGACAGACATAGAGAGCTTCAACTTTGCTGAATGTAAGCACTAAAGAAAATCAAATCTATCCATTTCCCTCATGCCACACCAGCCTTCCACCTGCCTTCCCCAGAAGGTCATCAGCTGCTCACTGCCTTCTCTGGAGGAACTCTTCAGCCAACGTTGCCTCAAGAGAGCAGGCAAAAATAATTGCAGACTCTTCACACCCTGGACACTTCCTGTTTGCTCTTCTGCCCTCCGGTAGACGCTACAGGTCAATTCAATCAAGGACAAACCGACTGAAAAACTGTTTCTACCCCAGAGCCATACGAGAACTGAACACCATCAAACGTTACAACTTGCAACTGCACTACTTTTTAATAGTTTTATTAACTTATTAACTGATCAACATCAGAGATGCAAAATATCATCCCTGTGTTTTTTATATTGTAAACTGTATTTAAATGATGTGCGGGCATGTATGCATGTTGGTATGGATGTGTGAGCATATGTTTATGTGTGTATATGTTTATATACTGTAGATATATATTTATTCGTTTTATGTGGAAATGCACTGCAAGGATTGCTTTTTTAAAATTCATTGTACCTGGTGCGATGACAATAAAGGAATTCTATTCTATTCTATGTACCTCCAGTCAGATGAAGGAGTGAAGTCAGACACCGTCCTACCCAGGGTCTCATTATGCCCTTCTGCGACAGCCATCACAGGGATGTAGCTTCTGAAAAATAACAGGTGACACGGTTAAAGTTTGACATGCATCGTAGGAAAGAAATGTGAAATTAAATGACACTTTGCTGACCTGAGATCTTGAACAGAGGTGGAGCAGTGGACTGGGTGTGGTTCTGATGGAGAGTCTCTCACAGTGCTGCTCAGAACAGGTGCTCTGTGGGACAAGTCGGGAGAAATTCTGTGGCACCATTAGTCCACAGATTATCTCATAGCATTGGTCTATAGTACGGACTAGCAGTCATTCGATGCTGCCTGTATTCATCCTCTCTTTTTATCAGTATCATTGCATACATGTGCTTTTCTTCACCACAAGAGGGAGCCACTATACAATGTAGTTGCATAGTTTGCACTTTATTGACAACCTTTTTGAGGCATGTTACACGTCTTTTAATAAAAAATGGTATGGTTTGCAGTTTAACTCCTGTTTCAGTTTAAAAGCGTGATAGAATTATTTATTTATATAAAGATAAGTAAATCATTTTGACAAAAAATGTTTGGATGATTATGAATTAAATTAAAGAATGGATTATTTAAATGTAAGATGAACCCATTGATGATACAATTTAAGAAAATTGATAGATTGTTGTTATTATTTCAAATCATCGGAGTTGGATGAATCTGAATTTCCGAATGATGGGACAATGAGCTTTGTAGCTACAATGATGACAGTGTTTGCTAAAGGTCTCAAAGATTAAACCCCAAGAAAGGATACAAAAGAATCCTGCACGAACAATCCACATATTTAATACATTCATTTCTTGAGGAAATTAAATGACCTTACAGAGATTTCTAGGAAATACCAAAGAGTCGGTTGATAATGATAGGGCTGCAAAATATAACAAAAATGTATTGAAATCGAAATATCCAGAAGTGCAAGATCTAAATCTCAGTAAGCGCAATATTTGGTGAACGCCAAATGTGAGAAAAAATCTTGATAAAGTGTTATTGTGCTGGAAAGAAGTCACGGCCTAGGAAAGGTTTTCTACAGACTTATTAAAGAATCCTTGTTTGGTATAGATCCTTTTGAAAAGTCACACCATGATACTTTTTATATATTTTTTAATGCTGATGTAAATGATGTTTTAAAAAATGGAAACAATGTGCAATTGCAATTAGTATTTTTTTCCAAATGGTCTGGCTTCATGTCTGCTGTGTTATCCACTTCCTGTCCCCTCGCCTAAACCAAACGGAGTAGTAAACAGTCGGTGAGAAAGTTTCTGACAAAGGGAAATTTAGGACAACCAGTGTTGTAGCGAATTAAAGTGTGACCCCCTCCTAATATCCTCATCCTGGTTGATGGAGCAGAAAATCACAATGACATTACCTTTCAACATTTGTTTAACATTTGTTCCATGGAAACGAGCAGGAGCTGCAGGTTGTTGGCTATTAATCAAATGCTGTTCCAGCCCAGATGGTGAAAGGGTAAAAATAACATGAGTGAGTTAAGACGGAAATGACTCAGTGAGGGAAGATGTTTCCCTCTGAAGCTTGGCTGGTGTCTGCGTGTAACAAATGGGCTCGGTAGATGGTTTAAAATGAATGCTTAATGTCCTCATCACTGCTTGTAACACTTTTAAAATCTGGAAGAACAGACTAAACAGAATCATCTTAATATCTCACCGAAATCCTGGAGTGCTGGGTGAAGATGGCTGTGAGGTTCCCCTTGGCGACCTTGTGTGACTTCTGGCTGTGGCCTCAGGCTCCTAGGAACAACCATTGAGAACGTTTTTCTGGAACACTTCTCAGCAAACACCATTCCATACCGATGACAGTCCAACACAATGTGGCCATATGTTACTGACGGCGAGTGGGAACTGAAGACCTCGGGAGTTACAGTATGTTCTCTTCTTTAGCTCCATCATATCTCTTACTCAGAGTCTGATCAATTACATGTGTATCGCTTTCCAAAAAACAGAACAATAAATGGTTGAAAAAAGCTGCCAGATACAAGAGTACTGGCATGGAAAACAGCCGGCTTCCTGCTTGGAAGACTAAAAACTGCACATGTAAGGTCTGTCTGTCAGACTTCCTCTTCTTTCCAGTGATAAATTCCCAAACCTTGCTCAGATGTGAGTGAAACATTTCCTCCGTATTCATGGGACCAAAACGATAGTTACGTCTGTAACTACGGTTCTATGAGTCCCGGATGACCGCCAGAGGCACTGCTTTAGCACTGGATATGTCCATCGCGCGCATCCGCGAGTAGCAATAACAACAAATTCACCTGTGACCCACGTGACACCGGCTATGTCTGCCGGTGTCGTCAGAGGATCTGTTCCCAGAATCTTCTCGCGAGCACACAAGAATTCTGAGTGACAGGATACTCTGGTGGTCATCCGGGACTCATAGAACCGTAGTTACAGCCGTAACTATCGTTCCATTTCGTCCCTACTGACCGCCAGAGGCGGTGCTTTAGCACTGGATGACTTATACCAACCATGTCATGAAGAATCCAAGCCCTTGCTCACTACTGGAAGCAGATGAGCTCGGCAAAAGGACCGCGCCCAAAGGATGGGGAGTGGCGACATTAACCTGATAAAACCTGGAGAATATGCCAGAAGACGCCCACGACGCCGCGGCGCAGATGGTCTCCAGGGGCACCCCTCTCAGGGCAGCCTAAGATGTTGAGATGCTCCTTGCAGAGTGGCATCTCAGCCCTGATGGCAGGGGGCGGCCAATGGCCCCGTAGGCATGTGAGATAGTATCGACAACCCTGTGGGGCAGCCACTGGTTAGAGGGCACAACCTCCTTTACTGCCGCCTTGGCAAAAGTTGCTTCTACTGCCGTATACAGGCAGTAGCCTCGATATACGCCCTTTGTGCACCCACAAGGCACAGAAAAGACGTGCCATTCTCCTGAATGTCAAAGCATGCCAGCTGGGCAGGCTGATTGAAGCCGGAGCCCTCGGGGGTGATAGGGGGACGCTGCCGTAAAGCCCCTCTCATAAAGAGGGACACCAACCTGTGGCACCCCGCCGCCGTCGACCAGAACATGTCGGGCAGAAATAGCAGCCACATACATTCGGAGTGGAGTGAGCACGTCCACTATCTAGAAGGGACTGTTGTCTGGGCAACAGCGTACATGCTGTCCCAAGGAACACGCACATTATTGCCCCCCAGTTGGGGTAGAAAGTGCGTGAGTGCAAGTTGCACAGCCTGAAGCTCACATGACATGGCATGCACCCTCCTGGGCAGACCGCTGACCCTGAACGGTCCTGCCCTGCCGCACTGCACCCCACCCTGAGAGACATGCACCTATGGTGATGGTCTCCTGGCGGGATGGCGCCCATGGGCACGCCCATCAGGAGATAGGCCCTGCCACTCCAGCGTGACAGAGAGTTGAGGCAACACTGCGACACCCTGACTTTCCTGTGCCTGTGCCACTTGGCTTCCAAGTGAAGGCTGTTCAGCCACATCTGCATGGGGTGCAATGACAGCGGGCCTAAGGGCCCAGCGGCCGAGGCAGCCGTCAGTCTGCCCAAGCGCTGGAGGAACTGAATATAAGGCACCATCTTGCCCGGCCCACTTGGAAGTAGGCATCCCTCAAGTCCATGGTTGAGAACCACTCCACCTGTACATGTGCTGTGGTCAGCATATAGAATTGCAGCACCTTCAGGAATCTGTTGATTCCTCTGAGGTCCAAGATCAGGTGAACTACGCCGACTTTCTCGCTCACGAGAAAGTACGCCGAGTAGAACCCCCTGGGCTAAGCAGAGGGTCTACTGGCTTGATTGCGTCCTTGGACAGAAGGACGGACAACTCTTGGGCCAGAGCTAGGGCCTCTGCTGGATCGCTGACGACTGTCATTTTGGCCCAGCCGAAGGCTAGGGGCCGGAACTGCGGTTCGTACCCCTGGGTTAAGGTGAAACCCACCCAAGGGCCGGAAGTACAGACAGCCCAGTAACTGAGCCTGGTCTGCCAAGCTTGGGCAGCACGCTCCAGTGCCTCCAGGGCAGCTGACCCAAACAGCTCCCCTGGCTCGACTTGCACGCTACGGAGGACTCTCCTACATGTCCCCATTAGTAGTGACTGGGCCAGCCAAACCTGGCGACGAGTCTGTACCAGAGAGGGCATAACTCGTCCCAATTCCCTAGCCATTAGGGCAAAGGCCTGCAGGGTGGAGACAGCCAGCATTAGATGGGAGAGGGAGTTCCCGATACGACCCAATGCGTGCCGCTGCGTCGTAGGCCCTACAGAGCAGCCCGTCTGTGACCCTTCACCGGCCGAGGGCACCTGACCTCAGGCCTTAGAGCCTCGTCAGGAGCCAGAATCAGGGAGGTGATGGCAGGCTCAATGGGTGGCATGCCACCCAGCCCTACCCTCGCCGGACCCTGCATGGCAGCCAAGGCCCGGGTGTCAGAGCCAGCGTGGCAGAGGGCCCTGGTGTCCCTCCAGCATGTATGGAGCACCCTCAGGTACTCCTCTGAAGGAGGAATGGTGAGGGGGACAGGGGCAAGGCTACNGAATGGCAGCACCTTCAGGAATCTGTTGATTCCTCTGAGGTCCAAGATCAGGCGAAATCCGCCGACTTTCTTGCTCACGAGAAAGTACGCCGAGTAGAACCCCCTGTGCTAATCAGTGGGTCTACTGGCTCGAATGTGTCCTTGGACAGAAGGACGGACAACTCTTGGGCCAGAGCTAGGGCCTCTGCCGGATGGCTGACGACTGTCATTTCGGCCCAGCCGAAGGCTAGGGGCCGGAACTGCGGGCCAAGGCCCGGGCGTCAGAGCAAGCATGGCAGAGGGCCCTGGTGTCCCTCCAGTATGCATGGAGCTCCCTCAGGTACTCCTCTGAAGGAGGAACGGTGAGGGGGACAGGTCTACGCCTGAAGAAGGCGCTAGCCTGAGCCAAGTCGGCCTGCGGAACCGGAATCTGCAAGTGCGGGACCTCGTCCTCCATCTCTTCATTCAAGAGGTTAGCCAAAGCCGTTAGCGACAAGGCATCCTCATACAGAGGTGCGTCAACCGAAGGAGGGGCAGGCGGCACGCTAGCAGCCCCTATACCGGGCCCAGGCTAAAGGGCCAAGAGGAGCGACTTCATCATGCCCATATCGGCAGCTAGCTGATCCACTTTAGAGGACAGCCTGTTTCTAGTCCTCCTATTGGGTGGAGCACCCATAGCCATCGCTCCCTCAAGTCGCCGGCAACGGCCGAACTGATCATGAGGAGGATGTGACAAGGAGAGGTGTCTGTTAGCTGCTGCCAAACACCCACGTTACCGGCAGAGGGAGCGGGAGCGAGAGCACTGCCTTCACCTGGCTGGATTAAAAAACACAGCAGTTTAGCGTCTTCCAGGAGCGGGGGCGAGAACACTGCCTTCCCTGGTTGAGTTAGAGACGAATGCCAGATGCAGCGTAACCGGGAGCGGGTGCGGGAACACAGCCTTCGCCAGCTACCTGCTTATCGGAAAAACAAGGCAGTTCAGCATCTACCAGGAGCACGGGCGAGAACACTGCCTTCACTGGTTGAGTTAGAGACGAATGCTCCGTAACCGGGAGCAGGGTTTTACCATGAGATGGCGCTTTCTTCACAAAAACACATAAACAGATAACTGGGTAACCTTTGGTTACACATCAACTAGGGCCGGGACTCGATTAAAAAAATTAATCTAATTAATTAGAGGTTTTGTAATTAATTAATCGAAATTAATCGCATTTTTAATCACATATAAATATTTGACATGAGAATAGTGAGAAGATGTCAATAAAGTGTGCCGTCACACAGAGGTAATAATGAATTGCTTACCGAGGTCCAATGATCCCCAGTCAGGGCAACACATTCGGCTTTCTCCAATAAATTCTCTTTATCTTCCTTTTCATTGTCATAAAGCTGCTGGATTCTTTTTGTCACTGTCTTTCTGCATGGCAGCTCATATGTTGTGTCAGACGATGCAATCTGTAGTACCTTTTGCAGCCCCTTATCTTCTACCNGAAAGCTTCCGCCACGACCCTTGGGTTGAACACCCTTGGAGAGAGCGCGAGAGCACCAAAGGGAAGCACCGGAACTGATTTAGTGTCGCCCTGGAAAGGACAAACATCAAGAACTTCCGAGTGAGTGAGAGCCCAACTGGCAACGTGGAAGTTAGGCAGTCCCTCAAGTCCACGGTTGCGAACCACCCTGTGCGATGTTGCTGTGGTCAGCATGTGCGAATGGCCAGCACTTCAGGCAATCTCTGATTCCTCTGAGGGTCCAAGATCAGGACGAAATCCGCCCGACTGCTTGCCCACGAGCTTAGCAACCCCCCGCCTGAAGCAGAGGGGTCTTATGCAGGGGTATTCAACTAAAATTCAACGCAGTTCCAGTTAGAGAAATTTGTTCCCATGCAAAAAGTCCGGCAACATCAAAATGTCTAAGTTGCTTTATGAATTAGCTGTGATATGGTATTGAAGTAGCCTGCTAGCTTTTTAAAATCAACGTCTGCCATGTATCTCAATACACTGACTTGCCCAATTCAAATAAGGAGTTACAAGTTTCATAACAGAACAATATTAATTGGTCATTAAACATTAACTTACACAGATATACGAGTAAATACTGATGGATATGCTCTAATGCTTCCTCCTCGGGGCTGCATTAAAAATAAAATAGGAGAAAAATAACATAAAAGTAGCTTTGAAAATGTGTGCATGCTTAAAAGGCTGCTTAATTTTAGGGATTCATTTAAAATAAGGTGTAGCAGCCAGCTTTTTGGAGTTTTCCCTTTTTCTTTGTTAACCGTTTACATCATGACTTAACAGTTTCAGGACGATGTAGTAGAACAATATCAGGTCTTTACATCATCATAACCAATTGAACAGCTTTTTAAAGGTTTCTCTTTCTTTCCCTCTTACTGATATTAGCAGTCACCCTCACTCACTTTTTTTTACTTCAAGTGCGAGAATTGCAACTCAGAGCTTGCTCCTGCCAGGCAGTTTATGCCCTCAATATCTGGCTGCAAATGGGTGCTCAGGGCCATTCTCATTACACATGCAGACTCATTGGCTTAGCCCGGTTAGTCTGCCCCTGGAACGAACTTTAATTTTTAAATTTTGATCCTGCCCGGTTCGGACTGAATCATTATTGGGGCTCGGACACTGCTATTTTTTCCCGAACCTCAGCTTTCTGGACTGAGAGGGCAATGTTTTGGTCAAGGCACTTTGGTTTTGCTCTCAGTGGCGTTTTGGCACTTTTAATTAGCGCCACGTCTCCTGAACAAATGAGGACACACTGGTTCTGTGCTCCCAGTGTGCCAGGATGAACATGAATGAGCTCCGCTCCACTCAGCGGCTTAAAAGCTCTGTTTCTCACTGTCCACTTTCCTTCCGTCATGAAGAGCCGCCATGTGCTAATATTTGTCTCTCCCTGGGTCTGCCGCTAACACGCCTGCTTCACTCTCCTCTTCTCTCCCTGCTATCGCCTGAATAATTCTCTTCACTTACTTTCCTCTCCGGGCTTCTCTCTGGCCCCGGCATCCACTCTTCTTCATTGTTTTTTGGTTTCTCTGGGCTTGCTTATTCGCCTCACTCAGCTGTCTCTTCTTCTGCCTGTTTCTCTCCCTGTATCGGGCTCACTTCGGTCTCTATCGGGCCCCCCTGTCGGCAGCGGTTAAAATAGAATCGCCCCGTCAAATTAATTCCCTATTAATGTATTGGACTTATAGTCCGGCGGTCCGTATAGGTCGGACGTCTGGGTTCCCGCGATCCGCGACCGCGGTCAGGCCTGTTTGTTGCCGACCCCTGGCTAATGGCCCTCGATTGCGTAATTGGCCAAGAGGACGGACAACTCTTGGGCCAGAGCTAAGGCCTTCGCCGGATCGCTGACAACTGTCATTTTGACCCGGCCGAAGGCCAGGGGCCGGAACTGCAGTTCGTAGCTCTGGATTAAGGTGGAACCACCCAAGGGTCGGAAGTACATGCAGCCCAGTAACTGAACTGCTGCTGGGAAAAGCAGCCGACGACCGGCACACAACGCTGTCACAACGCCACAAGCAGAAAGTACAAAAGAGCACAATAAGAGCAACTTTATGGGAGAGGAAGTGGGAACACTGTCGTCACCAGAAAGTCTAAGCCAAACAAAAAACAAGACAGCAATCAGGACAACTTAGCTGGGAGAGGGTGCGGGGACACAGCCATCACCAACAAAGTTGACACAAACAAACCTGTCTGTCGAGGCTCTGCGCAGCCAGCCACAGCTCCTGGAAGACGAGTCAACAACCCGCGGCTCCGACTGGATCAGTCGCGAAGCTGCTCGCGGCCAGCTACATGCAGAGAAATCCCTCAGATCAAACGTTCAAACTGAACTGAAATTGATGGCTACAAGAATGTAGCCACGGTACTCTCGCGCAGCGAGAAGATGAAAGGAACAGATCCTCTGACGACAGCGGCATATGTAGCCGGTATCACGTGGGTCACAGGTGACTTTGTTGTTATTGGTACTCGAGCTGCGCATGCGCGCGATGGACATATCCAGTGCTAAAGCACCGCCTCTGGCGGTCAGTAGGGACGAAATAGAACCAACGTTTTAAAGACAGCAGCATCTGCTGGTTAGATGTTGCTGCTTTGTATCTTCTTCAGTGGTTTCCAAAATGTGCCATCCAGCCTTAAAGGCCACGCAAAGAGTGTGATTTTGGCCAATCTCAACTCATCTTTCCCTCCAAGCTTTTGCTAATGTTATGTTTACTAAACACAAGTTTTTTAAAAGGATAATTTGAATGTTTTAGAATGGGGTCGTATGAGGTACTTAGCCATACTTAAATTAGATGATTACTGGCAAGCCCCCAGAAACTAAGCAATGTGCTTCTGAGGACAGGGGTTTGCAGCAAAATGTATTTTAACCCCCTGAAAGAAAAGCCTCAATATGTTTGCTATATTTATAATACATTTTTTTCTTTCAACATTATCTTGCCTTGAGACTGCTAGGATGTCCTAGGATTAACTGAAGAAATTAAGTAAATGTTGCTTTCATCAAAGCACAGGACTCCATTAGGGCTAAATATATCATAACTTTTGTATATTCGGAAATATATCATAAACATTTTAAGTGGGGCCTTACTTTAAGGTGGCTAAAATACGTTTTTTGCTGAAATGCCAATCAATAGCACTACTTGCTTAGTTTAGTCTAAGTCAATTCACTACTGTCAGTTTCTCCAAAATGGGAGCGTTCCAACACTAAAACACTGAATATAAAGTACTTAATTCAACCCCACTTCAAAACATCCAAACCACCCTTTTAAGTAATTAGGAAAAAACAGAAAGTGATTATTATTGACTAAAGATAAACATTGACTCACTTCTTATCCCCCCTTGTGTTTTTGAGAACCCTCTTGACCATGTGGTCCTTGTTAAAGCTCTAACTTCTCAGAGTGTATTGATGCTGTTGCTGTTCTCCTGGCTCTTGCTTGGGCCACATGGAGTTCTGTAAAAATGAGCTTCCTCCTACGTATCTTCCCACCAGGGCCCATTCAGCATGATGCTGAACAGAGGCTGCGAGGGTCACACTGGTGCCATAAAAACCTCCGAAGTCAGAGACACTTGCATTTTCACTTACACAAACTAAGCTGTCCGTGGAGGCCAATATTCAGAAAACACACACAAACACACATAAATATACAGATTTCATGGTTTTAGAGACACTACCCTTGCCATGGTGTCATTCTAACAGGAGCTTTATGTGCTGTTGTCACATAGATAGGTAGAGATAAAGTGAGGTCCATCACCTGCACGCTGGAAGCCTCCCTGCTCCACCACTGATGGAAGTCTTTCTGGAGCTTGACCTTCGCCCTCTCCAACAGCAGCTGCAGGTGCTCAATCTCCGTCCTCAGAGCTTTGAGACGCCCGATGGCGCTCTTGTAACTGACAGGGGATATTAGCAGCAGCAAATTAATCTTTTGTCCATGTTGTAATAGCATCTGCTGTGACTAATGAATCTAAGCAGTGTGTTGGGAGAAATGAAAGTGAACTCTTAATACACTTACGCCTTCTTTTCTTGCTCTATGTGTTTGCACAGGTTTTCTTCCACGGGGTCGTACTCCTCCTCGACCTCTTGGTGATTCTGCATTACAGCTGGGGAAGGATTGGACAGGCACAAGACCGGGCAAATGTTTTAGAGATAAGACACTGCTAAACTACAACCTTGGAACTAACAATAACATAAAAATGCTACATTTATTGCAAAACCGTTTTAAGGCATCATAGAATGACATTGAGAGATGCGTCTCTTTTATGAGCTGCAATTTAGTGAGAAACATGACATGAGCTATGCTTTTCAATCATTCTCAATGTTTTCAAATTTTATGCAGCTCAATTTAACCCAAAATCCCTTTTCTGTAGTCGAAACTGGCTTCTTATACAATATTTTGGGGGATCTTAGAAATATATCAGTGATTTGCTGAGTAAATCGCCAATTTTTGTTCTAATCCAACTTGCATAACTACGGAAAAGGATTAGAAATTAGATTAAGACATAATTCTGATTCATCAAAAAAAAAGAAAGAACATTTGGTCATATCTCCAAAGACCTTTCACATGTGGCCCTAATCCTTTTTCCTACATAACTGATATTTTTTTAATTAACTCTTGATTTGATTTATATCTTACGTATCACCTGCAGTATTGCAAAGGACCCCTAGGGGTACTCCTACCCCCATTTCAGATACACGGCAGTAGATACAATCTCAAATAAAGTACAGTGAAAATGCTCAGAAGCTAGTAGATGCTAGTACATGAGACTGCATTTCCTTCAAAAATACAATGTTTTGGCCCTGAATAATTGAAGCAAGGCTGCTGTGAAGTATTCTTTGATGCGGGACTGAAAATAACAAGAAAAGCCTTTGGAGCCGTAACCGGAGGGAGATGTTTGTGTCCTTTACAACCAGAATTCCTCTTCAAAGCATGTATGCCACTGATCAAAACAGTCAGAGAAGAGTAAATGAAAAAGTCCTAGAGTTGTGACGCCCAGTCTTTGGTCGCTAAGATCTCAGTCAGCCAGGACTACTGCTAAAGCTTTGAAGTGGGCACCGCTGCATATCAAATAAAAGAGCCCACAATGTGTCACAATGTTACCGGCAGCATACTCTATAAAGAGCTCAATATCTAAATCATAATAAAAATAGTTCCCATTTGTGGCAGCTTTTTTCATTCTTTGAGTTTGGGCTTGAGGAGCAAAGTTAACCTGGATTCTCCGTTGTTGTAATTTCAAATGGCAACAGTGCAAAATGTGGAGATTTTCCATATGATGCATGTAATTGCTTCAAGTGCCCATGCAATGTTGAGCTGGTTGTGTGGGTAGATATGGTTTGATATTTCTCTGTTTTTCTATCGACACATGGTTACATTTTGCTGTGGGAATAACATTTGTCATTTTGATCTTACCATGAGCGGCCCTCTGTCTCCTCTGCACCTCTAACTGCTTTTTCAACTCATCTGAGAAAGAAAGAACAATACAAATGTAGCTTTTTAAAAAACATTTTTTCTCTAAATTGTATATCAAACAGACACAATACACCTTCTATTAGCCTAACATTTGTGAAACATTTAAAACAAAGTTGAGAAAAAAGTGTTGAGGGCCCCTTTAATGTAGGAGTTTTTCATCACAGGTGTGGATCTTAGTCCACGAGGGATGTTACAGTAAACAAATCCATTGTCTTTTAATTGTTGTTTCACGAACAACTTGTTTATTCTGTGGGTCCAATTAATACATCATTCTTGCATTGATGAATAACGACGATTCATTGAGTTGTTTGCAGAAGATTTTCCCAACTTAAAGGTCCCATGTCATGCTTTTCCGGTTATTCCCTGTCCCCTTGTGTTTTATGTAGCTTTTTATGCATGTAAACGGTCTGCAGAGTCACAAATCCTCAAAGTACGCCCTGTAGCGAGTGAAACTCTAACACAGAAAAGACCTGTCGCCTCGTTGGAGATTTCTCTTTTTCTTTTTTTTCACACACACACACACACACACACACACACACACACACACACACACACACACACACACACACACACACACACACACACACACACACGTAC